AAGTCTTTAAATGGAAGTCATGAAAAGATTGGTAGACTTTATCTTTATTTTCTCTTTGATATTTAATTTTCCATCCCTATAACATATAAATAATATTTAATTTCGTTTATAGAGTTTAATCCGCCCCTTAAATAATCTAATAGTGTTCATAGGGGCGTTAAACCCATACCATTTCACCATTTTTCACAAAGTTTAAAAAGCTAAAGATTTCATTCTGGGATTCCTAGAAGCAATGCTCTACATGCCCTCCGTTGGACTCGCCAAATTTTTAACGCCTCGTTCGAAATGTTCAATGTAGCCCAGACACAAGGACCTGCTAAACCATGAGTGTTTAAAGCCACACACAGTGTACATAATCAGTATGAAGTGGCTTTTAGAGGCAATAGGGAGTGGAGTACCCAACAGACAGCACCTTTGGAGTTATCTTAACATATCCTGCAGGGTGAAAAAGGACTTTTCACTAGATCAAATGTCATCGAGGAAATGATACCGCTTTTCATGACAATCAAGGAATCATGAACACATTGCCATGCTCTGATCCATGTCATCTCGGCCTTGTGAAGATGAAACGTAGTAGGTTAATACCTGCCATGAGAGTGCAGACTGTTGAGGGATAGAACAGTCCAAGCTGCAGATCGTCTACGGATAGATGTCTCATGGGACTCTACTACTGAAATCTGCACTCTGGTGACGTTTAAAGGGCTGCGCATGGTGCATGTTCGAACTGAAGGGGTCATTTAAAAGAAAATTTTAAGTTCTGATTCGCTATTGATCCAAACTGATGGAATTTCCCTACTCATGACACCGAAGGTCTTGAGGGCATCTAAGCATTCTTTTCATACCGTGCACAGAACTTACGAAACGTCAGGGATGGTGAGTTTGTGGAGAGGTAACGTTCAATACAAAAAGCTCTCTGTTTCTGACTAAACTTAATTATGATCTAAGCAGGCAAACAAAATTTGGGAACAATAAATAATATCGGCAGACTTCAGTTGACTTGTTAGACTGTTGCAACTTTTAGTGGTTGATTTAATGCGAACGGGTGCGTCATGCTACGAAAATGGGGACAAGGTTGAAAATGTTTTTTTTATTTTTTATGTGCTATACAGAGCAAAACCATTCAATGGACTTAAGTAAAATAAATGTCTGACAAATTCCTTTTGGCTTCCAAATATTCCGTTCAAATCTGAAACGCAAAACTTCTGTATGGAGGAAATTATTTACCAAACAAGTTTTGCAGTTGTTGTTTTTTGGATCCCCTTGTATGTTCATTTTTCGTTTCTGAAATTTTGTACAAATTATAGATTTGAAACTGACAATTACAGCCACCTTCGAATCGGGCACTTGATCATTTAAAAATGATGATACTACTACTACTACTACTACTACTACTACTACTACTACTACTACTACTACTAAATAACATTAATTATATAGCGCTCAACCCCGATTAAAGTACACAGGCTCTGAGCGCTTTACAATACAGTACAACGTACAACAGCAACATAAAATGTGTCATGACAAAAAGAAAATCACTCCAAATATTCATCCTATTAATTTAAAGACAGAAACGACTTCAGATGACATTTGAAGGAATAAAAAAAACTTGATCCTCCTTAAAGTACTTGGCAAAGCATTCCAGATCTTGGGGCTTTGATATTCAAATGCCCATTCACCCATTGTTTTAAGTTTCATAGATGGTAAAAGACATTTTTAATTTTTGTCAGCTGATCTTAAACTGCGAGTTGGGATGTACAGTCTCAACAGCTTTGATAAATATGATGGCGCATTATTATTCAAGCATCTGTGAAATAGCATGATGGTGGCTTACGTGTACACAATTCTTTTCTCTGCAGGAAGCTAATGCAATGTCCGTAAAAGAGGATTGGCAGAGTCTCGCTTTCTCTTCCGTAAAACTAAACGTGCAGCATTGTTTTTGGACAGTTTGAAGTCTTTTAACTTTCCCCAGTGATATTCCTGATATTTTCGAATATTGAGGAGAGAAGACATTGATTAAAAAGGAAAACACAATGATAATGACGATAAAGATGTTCTGTACTAACCGTCTCTTTCCTTGGACGCCTGTGTGTTATAGAGGATGTGTGTTATAAACCGTTTGCGATGGGGAGGTGGTCACAAAAACGATCGATGCGAGAAGAAAAAAAGCAAGACGCCTCTTTTCTGAAGTAGGGCTGAGTGCTTTGTTGCGGTCACGCGCGCCAATGGTATTGATGAACAGCACAAAGGAGTACATGAGGGGACGTTTCCACCTGTCCTGTAAGTCAACTCGGACGACCAGAGTGTCACGACGCGGTAAAGTCAGGCGCTCGTCAATTTTTGGGCTTATTATTATGGAGTTTCTGGTATCATCTTTAAGCGTGTTTATTTGTCTTGCTTTCGGTAAAAAAATTATTATCCATCTATCTTTAATAGAAGTCGAAGTATTTGCGATTGAAGGCGGTGGGAGTCACCTGGTTTCAGAAGAAAAATCATCCCCCCC